AGCTATTTTTTCAGGCTACCAATACTATTATTGATCGTATAATTATAATTTTCAGCACTGTTATGTTAGTTTCCTAGGTGTTCCACAAGTTAATGAGTTTATGTTCAATATTCGTAAACGATATGTACAGTTAGATTACAATATATCAAGTGAACATTTGATTCCAGTAAAACCTAGTGTGGTCAAATCATTTATTGTCTGGACAATTCCTTTATTCCTGTAAGTTTACACCACACTGACACACCATGAAAGCACGCACATGCTGATGACAAGTGTACGCCACGAGCACACGGGGGGGGGACTAAAATGTCAACCAAGGAGAAAAACATGGAAAGATGTGGAATACAACAGTGAAACTGTGGCTAAACAAGACCATTACTAAAATATTAAACCCTGTGACCACAATGTCATATCCGATATTATCCGATAATTTTCCAATCAAATGTTATATTGAATGTGAATATCAATACTGAATTGAATTGAAACTGAACAATGTTTTACGTAACACGTTTTTATCAGAGAAACAAACACCTTTACAATTTTGCACGAACAAGGGCGCCACTGAATCACAATATTTGTCTATGGTTCAGTGCTTCTATGTTGATGATCGACGCCGCAAGGGAGATTCAACAGCTGGTTTGCGTTTATTCTACCATCCTGTCCACTAAATAGTTCTGCATGTCAAATGCAATCACTGTGGCGAGAAGTTTACAATCTGGACAATATTATACTATAACACGTTTACAATTTTTTCTGTTAAGTACTATTAAGCATAAAGTGGTGAATTTTAATTGCGCGCGGAAACTGTACACTTTCTCGAATCAGACAAAACGTTTCTGTTATTAATATAGAAACCACATTCGACTGTTTTCATATAATTCTTATGATTATTTGACAAGCTTGTTTTAAAGTCGCGTATTACTGTCATGATCAAGATACTAGTACACGGAAGGAAATAAGATATTTTGGTATCTGGATAGCTCATACACACTATACAATCATGGCTTTATATTTACGCCATGGTGTGTAATGTCAGTAATTTTGTTCATGCATGTCCATTTCGTGACTGTAAGTTCGTATCTATTACACTCTTTTTTGAGCTGTCTTTGGGGGGGGGGGGGTGGCCACTGTGGCATCTTCTTATAGTAACCAGACAGCTTGCTAGTTCGTGGGTTTGAATCCCGTGTTTCATGTTTATAGCTTAGTCTACATTATGAGTGATAACCTGAATTAGGCCAGTGTTTGTTCTTGTGTTCATATTCCTTGGTGCTGGAAGCTGTGTACTATATATTACTGCCCGTATATGGGTGTTTGTGCCGGAGCGCAAGTGTTCATTTGCCCGACGTCAGCAGGGCAAAGATCTCCTTGCGCGAGGGCACTAACTTCCATATTCGGGCTGTAATATTGTTATTACATGCCTTTATTTACATAAAAAACACAGGGTTTATATCTTAATGTTTAAAGGTAATTCTTATTGGTAAAAAGGTGCATTTTTCATAAGCAGTAACAAAGTTTTGCATGCAACCGCGTTAATCGATAAGTGCGGCACTGCGGATGGATAAGTTTACGCATCCCGTTAACTGGCTCCCTTGACAACCTGCAGACGATAATGGCTGCAGCAGACGAAATGGATATTATGCAGTGTTTGCGGTCAATGGGACAGGGCCAACTTGATGAAATTCTTGGACCAGCACTAGACGAAGTGGACGGTTTTGTGAAAGCACACCAGAAGCAAAGTACCGTTAACACTACCGAACGTGATACCGAGTGGATAACTCAGAATACGGATTGCGGCGTCTCGAAGACATACCACCGGTCGAGTCGAAAGAGCTTCCGGGCAAATTTTTCATCAGCATGAAGAAGGACGGAGACGAATATGAGTCAGCTTCCCTCGCCAACATGAAGTGTAGTTTGGAGCGCTACCTTCGCGATAAGAAGTACTCCACAAGTCTAAATGATCGAGTTACTTTGCATAAAGTTAAATCGAGCTAATAGAGCAAGACAAAGGTAGAGGAAAGGGTAGAAAAGAACACAGAAATTGGCTCATGTATCCGATGTGAGATGTATTGTTGTAAAATTTGATTTGTGTGTGGTTGCAAACTTTTATTAAGATATTGAATATTAACATCATCATGATTGTCCTTTTTATTTTTTTATAAATTTTCTCCAATCAAACGAAAGTAGTTCCGGAAATTTCTTTGATCATTGGACCTCTCTGTTGCTATTTACGACGGTCCATACATGGCTCACTGGACCGCAAAAATCCTCGGATGTTCCTATTGTAAAGTGTGTGTTTGATTGGCGGGCGGATGAAGGAATGTCATAATGGCTGTTGTTAAAATGTTATTTTCATTAGATACCCTGCTTGAAATACTAAACAGCATTTTCTATGATGAGTCAAACAAAATAGTGATTTTCGTCAACTACATGAAATACATAATGCATGAAACCAAATCACATCTACTGTGTAGTTCCATATTATACCATTACGTAGTGCGCTGCGGCGTAATGGAAAGCGCGTCTGCTTACCGCATTTGCCGAGGTATAGGTCGGATATTTTATGTTTATATGTGCCTGTAATTTCGATTTCTTCCACTCACAGGTCTTCTTCACCACCAGTGGATAGGTACGTCTTATTCTAGAAGGGAGATCGTAACTGTGTAAATCATTCCGACTATGATTACACTAGGCTTTGCGAAATACGAAATGTATGTCAATTAGGTCATTGTAAGTTTTACCGAACTTGGGTAACGATTCAAGTATTACTGAAAGCTTTTTGGACAATAATGATATTCCAATGCTCAATCGGAAAACTCGAGAGATTTGTGAAGGGGAAATTACAGCATGTACAAAAATAGCATAAACAAAAATAAAACTCCAGGCAATGATGGTCTGACTGCAGAATTTGATCTAGCTTTCTGGCTCTTATTAGGAACATATGTAGTCACAGGGGGTAATTACACTTATAGAAAAGGCAGGCAAGGATAAAAGGCATATAGGTAATTGGACGCCAATAACATTACTTAATGTTGATAATAAGATTGATGCTAGATGCATTGCTGAACACCTATAACATACTCTGGATAAATTAATCAATGAAGGTCAAACAGCATTTATTAAGAATAGATCAATTGGTGACTGTGTTCGTGTCATTGAGGGAATTATGTAATACACAAAAGATTATGGAAAAATGGGTGCTCTTAGCTATTGATTTCCAAAAAGCCTTTGATAGTCTTGAATGGGATTTCATGTTCGTTGTCTACGTAAATTCAACTTTGGTCTCTCTTTGTTAGGTTGGGTACAGGCCTTTTATTCAAGTCCATCTAGTTGTGTTATGAATAGAGGGCTGTCATTAGGATATTTTTCCCTCTCTAGGGGAGTCAGACAGGGGGGATCACCTATCACCAATTTTGTTCATTCTGTCTTTAGAAACACTTTTGATAAAGCTGCAATATGACAATGGAATCAGGGGAATTAATATTGGTGGTTTTGAAATGAAACATTCTGCGTATGCTGATGACCTCACCTGTTTTATGTCAGACCTTGGAGGCAACGGAAAGATACTCCGCTTGGGGTAAATGGGCTATGTCACCTATCAAGATTGTGGGTGTATACTTTTCTTACAACTCTACAGCTGCATATCAGAAACACGTAATTGCTCCAACTAAAAGTCTTGAAAAAGTTTCAAACTTCTGGAATATGCGAAACCTCACACTAATTGGTAAAATACAAATTATTAAATCTGTTGTTATACACAAATTTCTTTATATGTTAAATCTGATTAATATTATTTAATCTGATGTCAAAAAGATTAATTCAAAAAATATTCCCCTTGATAGAGTTGCGCGTAATACTATGATAGGTGACATTGGCCATGGTGGGTTAGGGATGTTGGATATTTGTGCTATGCAAAAAGCTTTTAACATTAACTGGGTTAAAAGGTATTTGTAATCATACTGTCATCCATGGAAACGGTTCCTAGATCTTTATTTCAAACCACTTGGGGTACAATTAATGTTTCGATGCAACCTCTCAATAAACGCACTACATAATAAATTACCACCGTTTTATTGGGAAATGCTAAGTGTATGAAGTAATGTTATACAGTATGAGTTTATTT